TTAAAATTAAATAAAATAAACAAAACTTCAGGTGGCAGCGCGTTAGGGCTGTGCGTAACAGCACCGTTTCGCTTTGACTTGTGCTTTGATGTTTTGATGGAACAGTGTTTCGTTTCGAGTGTAGTTTAGTTTCAAAGGAACTGTTCCATTTTGTTTCATCAAAACAGCTTCAAAATTTCTACACTGTTTCAGTGTTTCAGCCAGGCTATAATAAGCATGAAACTAGAGGAGGAGCAACCTCCTCTGATCACAGGCAGATTGGGGCTGGCACCCCGGGGAGGAGTCCGGCAGAGAGAGCTCCGTAGCCCTCCTGGGGGGTGTGGGCAAGAGGCTACTGCTGCTGCCTCCCTGGGAGCTGAGCCAGTGGAGGGATGCGGAGTCCAGCCCCGGCGCTGCGGTCTGCTACCCCCCCACCAGGCTCAGTTCCATGGGGCCGCAAACGTTTCGACTGGCCTCGTTTTGTTGTGAGGCTGTTTTCAAGCCCTCTGTTTCGTTTAGATTTCGCTGTTTCGAGCTCGAAACGAGTTGAAACAGCATCGAAACGAAACAGCTGGTGAAATTTTGCACAGCCCGATTGCACTTCTGCATGTGGGAAACTTGCTGACTTTCCAGAGGCTATAAGCTGATCCTGAAAAGGTTTTAAAAAAATGAAAACAGATGCCCACACTTAAATATATTACAGTAGTTCTAAGACTATAAGGATTTGTATGTCTGACATTTTCTTACAAGATCCTTGGGTATTTGTGAACTGCTAATGTGACTAATTAATAAAGATAAAATTTTCATCATGAAGCAGCCATCTTGTATGTGGAGGAGCTAGTGACCTGCTGTCTTTTCCTGCAATAGTACCATGTGAAGAAAGAGGCAATTGTACAATGTGATGCCAGTGTGATGGGGGAACTAAAAGAATGAATGAAAACACGTGCAATTCCCAGCAGGTATTGGAGCAAAGTAGACATGAACCCTTTCACTAAAATAACATTAACCACCTCATAATTGTAGGTTACTATTTAGACATCTGGGAACTAGACAGACTGGTGGACACTGTTGCTGGCATTGTCATAGACAAGCCAATTAAGCATTTCAGAAAACATTATTCCAAATTATGTTATTTTTATTCAGCAGACTTCAGTTTACTTGCAGTGAGTGTGCATTTCACCTTGGGATGGAATTTAGTTGCCTGAAATTGCCTTGCCACTAGCTAGTCAAATAGAAAAGCTGACTTTGCAGTAGCAGTTGTTAAAGTTTATTTAAAAAAAAAAAAAAAAAGCTGAATGAAGTAACACTTCTACAGAAAGCCTAGTAGGATTCTTAATGCGTGTAGACATTGGTGTCTACAGGCCCAGCAGTGGTAGAAGAGGTAACAGGCAAAAAGGAAGTAGACATATCCAGGCTAAAACTTGGCAAACTTATGAAATTCCTGACATCTCAGAAGGGCAACTGGGGGACTGTCAAGATCCCTCCTTTCCTCAAGCAAAATTACGCGCTTGAAAGTAAGTTATTTTTGATGGACACACAAATCCTTGTTCGTTATATAGTATCGTAGTGGACAGCTATTTATTTAACTGAAAATTGAAATGCATCCACCTGTTATGACCACAAGACAAAAAAAAATAGATGCAAAAGATGGTGCATTATGAATCTAGCTGTAACTTGATTAGCAGAACATGGGAGGAACACAGGCCACAGGCTGTCGAGTGACTGATGAACAAGGATCTTGATTTTCTCTGATAAACCAAAAATTGGAGATTTTTTTTTAAAAAAAGTAACTCAAAATCCATATTTTTCCATAATTAAAATGAAATGTCATGGATGGATGGATGTAGAAAAATGTGGATTTTGGGTTACTCTTTTTAACCCGGAAATTGAGGATTTTTTTAAATCGGAGAAAACCAGGATCCGTGCTGATGAACACACAATCAAAATGCCACTCCACCTGAAAGAACCAAGTACTAGGCAGTCATTTATTATAAGAGTCTTTCATTTGCATCGTCAAACTGTCTGCAAGGTATACATATCTTATTTTACTAAGATATGGAAGAACAACCTCCCCAGCTCCAGAGGAAAATAGCTTAATTGCCAAACAATCGTGTACTAAAAAAACCCCTTTAATTTAGTGTTTTATGATGATGTAAACTTCAGAGTGTGTCAGACTGTTATGAATGTAAGCTGTTAAGATATTCGTATTTAATTTTACTGTCTCACACACGTGACAAAACAAATGTTACAGTTGCTTTCCAGTACTAGGAACTGTATTGCATGATTATGTTAATGGAAATAAGCGCTACTTTCAGCAAGTGCTTCATGAGAGCATACAGTAAATGTGGAGAAAAGAATAAAGCCTGAAAGTTGCATTATCTGGTGCTTGTTCAGTTTTTATGCCTAAATGTGTACAACTTCAACCTACATATATCAGAATTTAGAATAGACTTAAACTGTCTCCATGCTGTGAAATTGGTACTCCTGATATGAAAAATGTTAGGCTAGAAATAGATGTTGCCGAATGAATTGGATCAGCTGTGCTGCTATGTCTTGTGGCACAGGTGATCTGCTTCACTGGGCAAAACTCACTTTGCCCCTTGAACCACCCTTGATGGTGCAGGACAGTGTGCAGGGGCAATGTGCTCTTCCTGCTTTCCCTGCTTTGTCAGATCTGTGTTCTGGGTCTGGGTGGATGGGGGAGAGTGGGATTTTCCCTCTGCCCAGCCAGACCCAGGGGTTCGGCTGAGCAGGAAAGCACTTTTTCCCTGCTCAGCCAGACCTGGGTCATGAGTCTGGTTGAGCAGGGAAAGCACCAGAGAGGTAACAGATGTCTTTCGCAATAAAGTGGCAGAGCTTATTACCACCTTTTGTTGCGCCACCAATTTCCCTTTTATATGGTAAAACAAAGGTTATTGACATCTGTTTTGCTCAGCATTTGTGCTGCCAGAATTTATATGGTGGCACAAATGAGATGTCAGGCAACATCTGTTTCTACTGTTTGTTTGTCAAAATGTGTGCTAGGACGCTGAATGAGTCGGTGGAAAGGGCACTTTCCTTAGTGTCAATAGCCTTGTATTCAGTACTCAGGTCTGCCACTGACCTGGTGTTCATCACTGGGCAAGTCATATTTCTATCAGTGTTCACGGCCCCAGACTTCATCATGTCTATTTAGAATGTACATTTTTGTGGGTGCGACCCTTTTTTACTGTTTCACAGTCTTAGAACAGTGCCTAGTATAAGAAGGTAAATCTTTTCTGGTGCTTCTGAGCATTACTGTAATATAAATAATAGTATTTTTGCACCATTGAGAGAGGATATTTTGGACGCTATTCACTTACAATATTTCATGGTGGACATTGAGAAAAACAAAATGCAATGACCTTGAATTAAGCAAAAGAATGCAAATGTTGGTATTTAATATTCACATTGTGGAACCAAACCTACGAGTTCATATTTAATAACAATAAACATGGAAATATCTACGCACATATTTGATTTTTATGCATATATTTTGAATGCATGGCTTCTCTGCTTTCAAAGAGGCATTTCATTTCTTATATGTGCATATAATTTTAAGGCTTGTGTGTGAAGCATTAATAGAAATAAGACAAGACAATTGAACATTTGTGTTTCTTTAAGAATGGAAAATATTGGCCCATTTCTTAAGGCCAAACATGGCTAAAGGTCCCATCAAAGTTCATGTGAGACGGGTGGGTGGGAAAGAAGGGCATTTCAACCAGGTAAGAGCTTCAGCATTAAACTGCCTTTTTATATTTCAACTGGAAACATCAAATGCGTTTTAGGAGGAAATGGTTATTTTGGTTCTATAATCTGTTTCACCTATGTTCTAGGTTTGTGTGGTTTCTATTGCAAACAGTGGAAAAATCCTAATTTCAGAGACATGGTCAATTAGATTTTGCTTATAATTTGACCTCCTTGTTGGTATCTGGAGGCAATGGATGATCTCCAAATCTCAATATATCTTAAAAATCTTAGTGCTTTCAGTAAGACATTTTTGAGGCAGACAAAAATCTAATAGCTGCTGGATATATTTTTATCCTACAGTGTTTGTTTTCTGTGAACTTTCAGATATCAGAGAGAAGAAGGATTAACTAATAATCTCATCCTACAGACATGAGTTAACATCATTAATGGTGATACACTAAGCATTGCCATGTTCCAGTGCATTGCTTAACTTAATCCAAACCAGCATTGTAGCATCATAAACAACACTTGCTGTGTTTTAAAAATGCCCTTTTAGAGTAAAGAATTGAAAAAGGAAAACTTTTCAATTCTTCAACGTCTACACCTTTCAAAGTCAATCAATATAATAAATCAATCTGATTCTGAGTCTGTTTGAGGGAGGTTAGGTTTCTGTGGAATTTCTGGTGGCTCTTAATTTAATAGTATAGTGCACATTTGAGTCATTTTACAAATTGGTAATGAGGTGGGCTGATTCTAGGGAGCCTGAAATGAAAGTTAAATCCCAATTACTTATACATTTGTCTATGCACACTTCTTATGCTGTTTTAAGTGTATTGGCTAGAAACTGATAGTTAAATAGTGGGTGCACTAATATTGTATACATTCATGGGAATAATCTGTATGGGTATAGGGCACCCTGTTATGGTTGTATCCCCTATTGGAGTTGTACCAGTGTAACTTTCAGTAACAGTCTGCTCTTACCCTTCATGTTCTAAAAAGAACAGTTGAATTGGATCTAAAACTGTATAGACCAGATTTTCCAAGACATACTGAATACCTCAAGTAGCAGCATGGACAGGGGAAGTCAGCAGATTTCCTGTCACTTTAGGTTAGGTTTTAAAAAGGTGAGTAAATGTCATCTTTGAGTTCTGTGATGCACGTTTGTAGACAAGATTTAAGGCTTTCAGTCAGATGTATTACTTTATCTGTACTAGACTTCATTAAGTGACTTGATTCTTGTAGCTTTTTCAAAAAAAAAATCTGATGAACGTTTTAACAGTTAATGTCATCATGTTGCTTTTCTGAATTTTCAGGTGATCCCACCAAAGGAGTGGAAGCCAAGAAAACATTATGATGACATTGATGATTTGCTGATTCCAGCTCCAATTCAACAGATGGTCACTGGTCAATCAGGGCTTTTCACTCAGTACAACATTCAGAAAAAGCCAATGACTGTGAAGGAGTTCCGGCAACTAGCCAACAGTGACAAGTATGTATATTTGCTATTCTGTGTAGAATTAACATATAACTGCTTCCTTCACTATAACCTTTCTAAACCTTTTTAGACACCAGGCAGTTTTTATCCTTAAGCTTGCATACTAAAAGCCATCCCTGCTTCTCATTTTTCCTCAGCACGCATTGGGGCCGGGGCCGGGGCGGCAGCAGCTGGCTGCCGCTGGCCCCAGCTCTGGGTAGCTGCTGCCAGCTGGGAGCCCAGGCTGCTCCCAGAAAGTTGCTGGGAGGCTGCAAGTCCTGCTGCAAGCAGCCCGCACCATAGCTGGCAGCAGCTACCCCAGAGCTACAAACAGCTGTTGCCTCCCCAGCCCGGCCCCAACGGGTGCAGTGCCAGCATCTGCTGCCTTACCAGAGCCCAGGGCTGGGAGACAGCTGGGGCCGGGGTGGGGAGGCAGCAGCTGTTTGCAGCCTCCTGGCTGCAGCTGGCCCAGGTTCTGGGTAGCTGCTGATAGACACGAAGCCCAGGCTGCTTGAAGCAGGCAACTTCTCTGTGCGGCTCCTCTGTGCGCTGCCGCTCTGGGTTGCACAGGCTGCACGCTGGAGGGCCCAGGGGAGGGCAGCAGGGCTGGGAGCGCAGCGTGTGTGACCCAGAGTGACAGTTCACAGAGGGGCCACACAGGGAAGCTGCCTGCTGCTGCAAGCTCCGTGCTGCTGGGTCACACTTCCCCTGTGAGTATGGGAGCAGTGTGGCTAGCACACAGGGTTGTTCCCCTTGCTGCTGCCCCTGTCTGCAGGGGAAGTGTGGCCAGGGCAGTGGGGAGCTCGGAGCGGCAGGCAGCTTTTTGCGCCCCCCGCTGTGCCCTGCCATGCCCAGTTCCTCATGCTGCTCTGCAGAAATGGTGGCAAGGGCAGCACAGTGGAGAGCATCGCTGGTATCTGCTACCTCTCTGGAGCCTGGGGCTGGGGCTGGGTGTGGGAGGCAGCTAGGGCCGGGGATGGGGCGGGGGAGGCAGCAGCTGTTTGCAGCCTCCTGGCTGCAGCCAGCCTAGGTTCTGGGTAGCTGCTGATAGCCATGGAGTCTGGGCTGGGGGGAAGGGGCAGCAGGACTGGGGGGCCGG